TCCGAGAATGAAATCCAAGCTAAGATCCTCCCATATTGTAGCAGGTACGGGCAAGGGCATATATAACCCTGTGTTTTGTCCACCCCCTTTGTAGGATTGACAAACGGAGCAACGTTCGATGAACTTCGTAACATCCCTCCGTAGGTGCGGCCAAAAGAAACGCAGCTAGAGTTGTTCTATGGTTTTGTCTCGGCCTACATGAGCGGCCAAACCACCGCAATGTATTTCCCGGATCAATTGCTGTCTCCATGAAGAATCCGGTATACACAGAGCGTGTTGCTTGAATAAGAACCCATGCCGCACCGAAAATTGATCTACAGTTGGCTTATCCGCACAATCTGCCCAGATTTGTTGAAAATCCTTATCCGTTGCATACAATTCCTTAAGATATTGGAGACCCGTGATTTCGGTATTCAATTGCAACAATAATGTGGACTGCCGGCTTAGAGCATCTGCTACTCTATTTTGAGAACCAGATTTATGTTTAAGAACAAAAGAGAAGCGTTGTAAGAATAATACCCAACGAGCGTGCATGCGATTGAGTGATTTCTGATTGTTTATATATTGGAGAGCCTTATGATCACTATGAAGCACAAAATCTTGATGTAGTAGGTAATGTTCCCACTGCTTGAGAGCACGAAAGACGGCGTAAAGTTCTTGTTCATACACGCTCCATTTCTGCCTCGCCGGACACAGTTTCTCGCTGAAATATTCAATGGGCTTCTCGAGCTGCATGAGAACGGCTCCTACACCTGTTGCCGAGGCATCAGTTTCAACAACGAAGGGTTGTTCAAAGTCAGGTAATGCTAAGACTGGAGCCGAAGCTAGTGCAGATTTCACAGTTTCAAAACTCTCCTGTTGAGCTTCGGTCCACTGAAATTGTTTGAATTTTAAGCAGTCAGTCAATGGTGCTGCCAATACACTGAACCCACGAATGAATCTGCGATAAAAATTTGCGAGTCCGTGAAAACTGCGCACTTCAAAAAATGAGTTAGGCACTGGCCAGTCAGTTATGGCTTTAACTTTCTGCGGATCGACCCTTACACCATCTGCCGAAATAATAAACCCAAGGAAATATGTGCTTCCTGTAGCAAATTCACACTTGGATATGTTGAGGTAGAGCTTATTTGACTGTAACAGCTGAAAAATTTGCTCTAAATGCTGCCAATGGTCCGGTAGTGTTTTACTGAAAATTAAAATGTCGTCAAAGTAGACAACACAGAATTTGTTTAAGAAAGGTTTTAAGATCTCATTCATGAGTCTCATGAATGTGTCCGGAGCATTGCAAAGCCCAAAGGGCATGACTCTCCATTCATATAATCCTTGACGAGTCTTAAAAGCCATCTTCCACTCATCACCGGGCCGTATGCGAATCTGATGATAACCACTGCGAAGGTCCAGTTTGGAGAAAACAGTCGATCCGGCTAATTTTTCTAGAAGCTCGTCAAGTCTAGGAATGGGAAAACGATATTTAATTGTAATTTTGTTAATGGCTCGGCTGTCCATACACATCCGCCACGTTCCATCCTTCTTCGGCACTAGTAACGCCGGGACGGCACAAGGGCTCAAGCTCGGTTGAATTAATTGTTTCCCTAGCAATTCATCAACTAATTGTTGTAGTGTTTCATGTTCTTTTGGGCTCAACCGGTAATGAGGCAAATTAGGTAAGTTCGATCCTAGAACAAAATCAATCTGGTGTTGAAGCGCGCGCAAAGGTGGCAAAGTGGCTGGTAACGACTCTGGAGCAATGTCTAAAAACTTAGACAATAGGCGTTGGACCTCTGCGACGTGTATGGATTTACTTGCAAAATTCTGTTCCTTAAGGACAAGAGCCAGAATAACAGAACTTTCTTTGCCTACTTGTAGTAAAGTTGATCCGGAAACCATATGCATAACAGCCGCCTTGTTTTTCTGGGACATATTACTGTCAGATTGGTATGGAATTAGCTTGAGCTGTCTACCCTTCCAATCAAAAGAGTATGAATTAGACCTCCCATCATAAAGAGCTCCAACATCAAATTACCATGGCCGGCCAAGAATAATATGGCAAACATCCATGTCCAAAACATCACAAAGGACATCACAAACGTAATGTTTTCCGATTGAAAATGTTACCCGGCACATTTCAGTCACCGCGATATCCATTCCTTTTTTAACCCAACTGATTTTGTAAGGATGGGAGCTTTTAGTAGTCTTGAGTTGTAGTGCTTGAACCACGGACCGTGCGATAACATTTTCGGTACAACCACTATCGATGAGTAAATCACATACTTTACCATTGATAGTGCATCTTGTCTTGAAGACTGCATTTCGTTGAGAATTTTGCTGCTGCCGTGGTTCTAACAAAATTTTCTCCATAACACAAACAAGTGGCTCTCCTGAATCGGGTATGATTTCTTCTTCTATTTCAGCATTTTGATCCTCATCTCCCCCATCGAGCTCTTCAAGTTCAGCTGCAGTTAATTGCAATTGCGATCGGCTTGGACATTCATTGGATTTATGTCCAATTTGAAAACACATAAAGCATTTTACGGTACTTGGTCTGGCATAGGGATTTTCACGAACAGGAGGTCTTCCTTTTGGCTGCAATTTTGAATCAACAGCAGTTCCAGCCAAGTTAGGAGTAGTTGCCGCCACTACGGGAGAGCTTTGTGAACCTGCAGTCATGGTTTTGCCCACTGAATTGTTGTTCCTCCCGTTGTCCACGTGATGGTCTATTGACAGCCGCCGTCCCGAATATGATTTATAAGCCCGGGCCAACTGGATTTCAGCTTTTAAGGCAAAATTTATGGCCTGGGATAGAGACCAGACTGTATTCATCTCTAATTTATCTTGTATGGCCTCTTTCAATCCTCCTATGTACCGAGCAACCAAATGATTAGCACTCTCATTCAGATTGTTTCGAGCACTAAGGCGATGGAATTCTTCCGTATATTCACTAACGGATCTGCTGCCTTGGTTGCAATGCTGATACTTATGATAGAGGATCTGCTCATAATCTGTGGGCAAGTACTGAGAACGCAGCATCTGTTTCATTCGGGACCAATTACGAACCGCTCCACGACATTCCCGCCGACGAGTTTGTAAGAGTTGCAACCACCACACACTTGCTCCTCCTTTTAAACGACAGGCTACATATTTCACCTGTTTGTCTGGCGAAATGTCCATGTATTCAAAAAAAGTTTCTACGGATCGTTCCCAATCGAGGTAGTCTTCTATGTGTAGACGGCCATCAAAAAAAGGAATGTCGAGCTTCACTCGAAATTCACCTTGATTCCTGCCATAGTGATTTCCTCGATGTCGTCTTACATAATGATCTGGTAGCGGTTCTTCCTCCGACTCTGATGGCGAATTCGCAACATTAGGCTCTATTTCCTCCTCTTTCGAATCCGTTAGCTCCGAACTAGGATGCGCACGTCGTCGTTCTGGAATACGATTCTGATGACGTCTCCCTTGAACTGCATTTCCTTGCGCCGGTGTCCGATGACGCCGATTCCCCTCCATCTCCGTTCGGATGGCCTGAAATTCCCTGCGCATGTCCATAGACAACCGAAAAAGATCAGTCGAAATCTCGTCTAACCTCCGATTGATGTTGTCGTGTTTATCCCAGAGTGCATCAAGGCTGCGAGCGTCGTCGCCAGCCCCTCGCCTGCTACTTTCCGCCATTTTACTCCCAAGCAACCGGGCTCTGATACCAAAACTGATGTAGGTATCGGTGGAAGAAAACCAGGAACAGTAAGCGAATGAAACAGGGAAACAACAGCAAGCCGAATTGGCTCTGTTTAATAACTTTGTATATTCTTTTCTGCCTTTCTCCTTCTCCTTACAACTGTATATATCATCTTCTTCTATAGCCGAAAAGGCCACTATAAAAGTAAAAAGGTGCTGACAGCTCTGACAGCTAACGGAAGGTAAAACAAGTAGTGGAAAGCAAATTACTACAGCAGAAAATAAAAAGGTAATAAGGTAGTTATTATAGCTAATGCATAAGGTGTACTAGAGAACTTCCTGTGTTACGATGTTCCGCATCAGGAGTGAGGCGAATCCGCATAGGGCCTGGGCAAGGTGAGATCGGAGACTTGGAGTGAGGTGGATTCACGCAGACAGAGAACTCGGATTGAGGTGGCCTGGCGCCTGGCGTCTGGCGGGGATATGATGGGGCTTGACCAGCTAGTTGGTAGGTTGCAGGTGCACTTAGCAATGGTCGGCTTGAGTGCGGAAGCCAGGGCTAGGAAGGAGCTCATAGAAAGCTCACCGAACCAGGTTAGGTTGCGAGGGATCTGGGTTAGCCGGGTTGACCTGCATGTTTTCGGGTCAACATGAACTCAACCCATTCGAAACCCATTTTTAGAACTGGTCAGAATTATCCAAACTCTGACCGACCCATTTCACAAATAAGTCGATTCGAACTCAGATTTTTCTGGGTCACTTTTCAGGTCGTGTCTAAAATTGACACGCCATTGACGCCAAGATAACCTTGAAAATATAAAAACTTCAAATAATATTGGAATGATGATCAGAATCTCCTATTACTTAAGCTCTTTTCTTCAAGAAGGTAGAAACAAACATATAAACAAGCAAAAAGTAAATTCCAAAGCCCTATACCCAAGCTTTGGCTCCGGGGCCGGTTCATCTGGATTTTTTGGGCTTGGCTTCTTGCCTGTCGTAGCTTTTTGCTATGTTTCTTTTCCTTCTTATGTTTTATCACATATTGTAGTAGGGATCATTGGTTTTTTAGATTTCTTTTTTATTTTAATTGTACGTAGCTCATTGAGCATTAGCGAGCATTTGATCTCTTTAAAGACTTGTAATTCTTTTGATGATTTAACACGTAAGCCCGTTGATGCATGATTTTTAACTTAAAATACAATAAACTTATTATAAACATGGCAATTACACAGATGATAATATAAACCATGCACCATATCCACACAGATACACATATAAGCTTACATTATAGAATGCTTGCAGAGAGAGTATTTCAACTAATGATACTGAAATCAAGGAGAGGTATCTGTAAGCATATATTGAGATGTCTTCTCATATTTGAAACCATTACTCTTTGAATCATCAGCAGACCATACAAAAATACCCTGCAACTTTCCCTGCTTCTTTAAACTCTTACACGCAGTAAAGAATCCCTTATCTGGCTTCAATCCTCCACTGAGCGGATCAGTCCCAAAGCTCACAAGCACTCTCCCTCCTTCATAATTCCCTCTCTGAGTCTCAAAATAACTCAGAAATTGAGAAACTGTGGTGCTCGAATCATACGCGTAGAACTGAAAATTCACGTAATCTATATACTCCCCATACTTCTTCCAAAGCGAAATATAATGTTTCTGAACATCTTCTTCTGCAAAAGGAGCAATGGAAGCAAAAGATATGACGCCGTTGTTCTTCAGAGTCGTAATCAGCTTTCCAATGCAGTCGGCGAAGGTTTCAGAGTCTGCACTGAACTGCTCGTAGTCAATGTCGACGCCGTCTAAATGGTAGCGTTGGATGATGGCGGTGAGAGAAGTGACGGCATTGTTGACCCAAGAGTCGACGGAGGATGGGTTGAAGTAGACAGGGCTGCCATTGCCGACGGAGCCGCCGCCGAGGCTGACGGCGACTTTGACGTTGCTGTGGCGGGTTTTGATGGCCCTGACTTCGTCCGGCGTGAGGTTGTTGGAGTCCCAGAAGACGTTGAAGTGACCGTTGGTCGAGGAGCCGCCGTCGGTGGTGTAGTCAATGGCGAAGGAGAGGATGAAGTGGAAGTCAACGGAGGGGTTAATGGGGACGTCGGAGAATTTGATGCCATTGAACTCTGCGCCGATGTATTCTCTGAAGAGTTCCGAGTTCTTCGGAGCTAAAGCGGCGGCGGAAGATGGTGGAGGGAGGCTGATGAGTAGTAGTAGGACTAGCTGGAAGAAGAAGAAGGAGAAGAGCATTGTGGAAGCCATTGATAGCTAATTAATGGCTAATTAATTTGTGGCCAAAGATATTTATAGGGAAAAATTTTGAAAAAATAATAATAGAAAATATTTTTAAAAATCTTCATTTTTGTCTTAATATTTTATAATTTTTTATATATTTAAGAACAAATATCCTTAGAATATTAATTTTGTTACAATTATTTTAAAATATTTAATAGTTTTATTCTAACTAAATATAATAGAAAATTCATGAGAGAAATTTTTTTTCTTTTTTTAATATTTAATATTAAATTATGTCTGAAGAACTTGGCAGGCTGCGTGGTTAGAATGAGAAGGGATCTTAGTATATTGTCTTGTTTTTGGATTTTCAGTCAGTTGGCCTTCCACGGCAAATAATAATAATTGCATCTCACATAGAATTTTTAAGTTGTAATTATTGATACTCATAATTAATTTGTTATAAACTCTCCCTTATGCTCATTAATGAAGCTCAAGTTTGACTCGATTAACTCGTTAGCTCGAGCTCGATTGATACTTTGACTCGCTTAATATTAGTGATCTTAATGAGTCATATGGAAAAACAGTGTCATGCTCGACTGTAAACTTCTCATCTGTCATACGAACTTTAGCTTATATGTTCGAACTCGCGCTCTTAACTCGGTAACTTGAGAGCTCATAAAAGGGTTCGTGTTGTCTCAAAAAGACTCACTTAGAATTATATTTTTGAGCTGTTTTATATAATGATCATTTGAATTCGGCCCATTAAAATTCTCAAAAGTTTTTTTGAGTTGTTTTCGACAAATTTGTAATGGTCATTACGACGGATTATTTTTTTGTCGAAAATGACGACATAAGTCGCAAATTCACCACAAGTTAAGTTATGATATAAATAAATAAAAGCTGCTTTCTGTTGTATTTTGTCTCCACGGTGGAGTGGAAAAAGGGGGTTGGTTTGCAAGAGCAGCAGTTTCAAACCCCAGGAAGGTCATGTGCGCGCGGGCAGTCTGGTCAGGCAGGAGCAGCCAGCCGGTCAAAATCGGGAAGTCGGTCAAAAGGGATGTCAGGCACGGGCAACCGATCAGGCGCGGGCAGTGGGTAAAAGGAACAATAGAGCAAAGAATAGAAGCCCAACAACACCAACCGGCCACAACCAACAAAAAAACACCAACCCACAAACCAACAAAAAAAAAACAACAACACCACAAGCACCACCAAAGATCTAATCAAAGGAATTAGTTCTAGTAGAACAACCAACTAAATAATTAAAATTTTGCTCCACAATATTTAAAATCAGTACCCATAATTGGGCTTTACCAAAAAAAAAAAAAAACTCAAACGTTAGAAACAAGATGCAAAATGAATGAATAGCAAGTATAAATGAGTTGTATGATATCCATAATAAATAGCTAATTTGCTTATTTTGGATTGAGTTCGTCTGAAATATTGACCTAATTTAATTTTGGTACAGGTTTGATTTGGCTCAAAATCCTTTGAATAGTACTGATCGTTCATTGCTAGAGTTTTTGTAAAGATTGATTCAAAAGAAAATCATGTCACGTATTGAAGCCCAAGGTAACTTAAAAAATGCTGCGTTTGATGATCTTTTTGCTCTCATTGTCGTCTTCATGAGTTTGATTAAGATTTCGTATGGGATGATTTTCTTATTACTTTTTAAAGTAGTTTTT